CAATTTTACAATTTATTTAAATAAGCGATAGATAAGCTAGTAAAAATCACAAGACAGAAAATTATAATAAAAAATAACATACACCGTTTGAGATATTTTAGTAAACCAAAAATATATTGTTTAGACATGAAGGTGCTTAAAACAATGGAGAACATTTTTTTCTTGTAAGATTCACTACTCAACAGAATCTGGATAAAACAATGAATACATATTATACATCCGTCAAACTTAAATTAATAAGACACGTCATGCAGTGTCATTTAGTTTTTGTTTAAAATGTCAAATTTATGTAGGTACTAATTTTGTCTTTTTTTCTAAAAATAATACATAATAATATACCTACCTATACACATTTATACACAAAAATACATATGTATATTGTATTGTTTTTAAAGAATAATAATAAAACGAAATTAACGTTAAACTGACAAATGTCAAAGGACTTTTTGGGTGTGAAGCATTCCTACTTCGGAAGAGTTTCTTGATACCTATGGCTAAATTGATTTAAACTTTTAACATTATTTTGTCAGCTATTTAATAAAAAATGTTCACTATTAATTTAGCTCCTTCAAAGCTTGCTTTGATTTTTGTTTTAAACGGTTTAGAAACAATTGTTTCAATTGGCTCTTAACAGCCTGGCTAAATTAGTTTGAAACACTCTGTATGCTGATTTTTTTGGCTTTATCATATATTGCATTTTAAGTACCTAGTATAATTTAAATTTGTAATAAGCTACTCAAAAAATACATTAATTGGTAATTATTAAAGAAACCTTCAAAAATATATGCATAGATATTATATAATACCTATATATTTTATCTATTGCTTTTAAAACAATGGTATGTATGGGTGAATCTCACGAAATGTCCCCCGATTGTGTTACCCCGTGATATTTAATAAAACTAAATGAGTTTGACCTATATTTTTATTGTGTTTTAATAATCAAGTAGATATTACAGCTCAGGTTTTTAACCGCAATTAATTATTTTTTACAATGTTTTAAAAGTCTAAAACCTATCCTCCGTGACTGTTACTCTTTCTAGGTTAACCCATATGTTTTCAAATATCTGAGGTAGTAAAAGCATACCAAAAATATCAGTTCATTAAGTAAATTAAACAAATCCAAAGCAATCGAATCAAATATAAAATATTATTAAAAATTAAAGGAAATAATTTTTATAACCATTTATGTGGGTGTTACAAAAATTGATTCTATCCTCCGTGAATCTGTTTTTGCTTTAAATTTTATGCAACGGATAGCGCTTTAATTTTAATTTTAAATAAACAAAAACCTCTGTTTACGACATTATAGATGCATGTGATTCCTGAAGGTCAGTTAGAATTTATATGCAGATGAGAGTGTTGCTGTTTTATAATTCAATAGTTTAAGTTAATTAATTTGCTATTTAATTACCTATCCACCGTAAAGTGTAATATCTCAGTAAGTAGATTTTTTTATAAATATTTTATGCATGTACAATTGTATTTTTTTTTAAATATTAAGGTGTCAAAAGATACAATAACTTATTTCAAATATGCAAAGGAATGTTTAAAAAAAACATACGAAATCCTAACCTCCGTGAAGCTATCTTTCGTGAAGCTCTAATATTGAAAATGTAAAATTCTTGCATTAGTGCAGAACCACTTATGTAATATTATTACTAGACCTGGTGGCTTCACAAAAACCCCATTCTAGACCAACAGTGAAACAACCAAAAATAAAAAATAATTATTTTCACTTGGGGGACATCTCAATATAGGTATTCACCCGTATGTATTCTGGTAAATTTCAAACAATTTAAAAAACTCGCAAATTTAAATCTAAGTTATGGAATATTAAAAAAATTTGTTAATAAATATTATTTAAATTAGGTTACTTTTCTCATGTTGTTTTTTTCTATTCTTAATGAAATTGGCATTATAGTCGCCCCTCGTATATATACATCTGTTAAACACTTGATCGAGAGCTTCGCACGTGCGTAATTAAAACTCGTGACTAAAACACAGTTTAAGAAACTTGTTACATAATATACTATTACCTACTCCAATAAGTAGATAGGTAATTAAATGATTTTTAAAAATATATAAATAAAATCAAACATCAAATGGTTAACCTCACTTTTTACCAATTTAAAATGTTATCATAGTCGCCTTCTCCCAATTTAAAATCCGATTGGATCAAATCACAGTGAATACTAAAATCGGCCAATCACTGATGCCTAACAACGTGAATAATGAGTTAATTATTCCCGTTGTTAGGCAGGAAATTTATGGGCGTTTCTCTGTAAACTGGGCAACTCATTGTCTCAAGCTAATATTGTTTAGAAAAATAACAGATCATAAATATTTCGTAGATAACTTCAAAAGATAATAACCTAATCTACCTATGCTCGACGTTCAAAATCCAATAAAATAAACTTTAATGTATCAAAATCGTTTTTATAGTCCTTAAAAACCAGTCCCCTGACGTGTCACCAAAGCAAAATGGTCACTTCAGACTAAATTAATTAAACTATTGGAATCAACCTAATTGTTTAATTATTCAACCAATATTGTTTGCTTGTTACTGTGACTTATTTATTTTTTATAATTATTATTTTGTAATTCTAAAAAAGTCATCTAAACTTTGTCTCCGGATTTTATAAACAGTCCCCTGTATAGATTTTTCAGAAAATGCTCAATGTTTTCCAAAGTAATAGGAATATTTTTTGGTAGATCTGCCATATACTAATAAATAGACCGATATTTATTCCTCGAATAACATTTATTAAATACAACAAAAATATAACAAAAAAACTTGCCTAGACAATTTCTTACTTCAAGTTGCCCAGTTTACAGAGAAACGCCCTTATAATGGTTATCAATATTCGCAAAAAAAAAAATTATGCAATGGTAGGTAGATAACATTTATTAATTACCACCACAAATAAAAATAATTGCATGGACTTAAGAAATGGCAAATATTTACTTGAATTCGTTCATGGCGTTAAAAACAACGTTAATAAGACAATAAATGCGTCACAAAACATAAGAGTAAAACTAAAATAACTTTACCGCAAAATTTATGTGCGTTAAAATAATTCCCATACGTAGGAGGGTATAATAAATACACTCTAGTATTAATTGTGGTAAAATTTTCCAATAAATTTAACGAAAGAAATTTATTTTCATATTTATTTTGACAGCAAAAGAAAAAAATGTCAATAATGTATCTTTCCTATTTAAAATCATGGACAACCAAATTATGACGTTCAAAATTCCGTATCCGCCACTGTAAAATTAAAAAAAATCGTTACTTTTTACTTTTAATTAAATAGGTATTTTGTTTGTCATCAAAAATTCAAAACACAATATAATATAATTATAACTATATATTTTAGATTAATTTAATTAAGTATATAGCTACTAAAAATTAAATAAAAAGTGTAGGTAGGTATGTTATTTATAGAAATTTAAATCAAAGATAAATTATTTAAATTTCACATTTTAAACATATAAATGGTAAACTATTAATCTAGGAATTAGCATATCAGATAACTCTTCAAAATTATCAAAAATTGTTTGTAAAAACAACTAGAAAAATAGACACCTGTTAAACTTTGACAATTACAATGTAAGAAAGAAAGAAAGAAAGAAAATACGTTTATTTTGAAAAATCCAGAGAGTGCACGTTAACACTCTATACGGATTCATCCTCTCACAACAATACAACAAAAATATACAAACAATAAAAAATAAAAATATAAAAGTAGTAGTAGTAGATATTCATTTCACATTTCGTCATGTTTTAAAAGCTTAAGCTAGTTTCTATACTATAGATAGGTACATTACATGTTTGATAATGCAAGGACGGAAAAGAGAATAAAAATAAAATAAAATGACAATACCCGTTGAAACACCCTAGCTTGGAAGTCTAACCCGAGGCGTCCCCCAAAGCCCGAACAACAACCATCAGTGCGGTCTGAGCATAGACCACACTGGTGACCATTACAGCTCAGACTCCAAAAGATATCTCAAGTCAGACTCCAGAAAACATCTCAAACCAGACGTAAAACCCCTAATGTGTTTGTTTCTGATTTCAATAGGCAACGCATTGTAAATTTTGACACCATTATGATATATGCAACCTTTACCTCTCATTGATAAAACCCTTTCTAGGTTTACATCAGACTTATGACGTGTGTTATGGTCATGGTAGTCGTTGCGAAATTTTAATGAAATATTGGAATGGCGAGTATTAAGATTAACTTGGTGTATATAAACAGATACCTGGTATTTATAGATGTTTTCAAGAGGCATAACATTATAGTTTACAAAAAGAGCTTTTGTGCTGTATCTAATTGGGAGGTTGTATATATTTTTTATCGCCCTATTTTGCAAGATTTGAATAGGCACAATAAGGCCTTTACGTGCAGGATACCACAGTGCAGTCAAATACTGAAGGTGACAATGGACAAGCGAAAAATACACAGACCGAAGTAGTTGTGCTGGCAACATAAAACTTAGTCGCTTCAACACTCCCACCGGCGCAAGTAGTCGTTGTCTTAATTTTAATAAGTGCTTTTCCCAGGAAAGGTTTTCATCAATGTAGAGGCCCAAGTATTTTATTACATTAGAATATTGTAGATTGTCATTTCCAAACAAAATAGGCAATTGATCAATGGGCTTAATCACAAAATAAAAGCGAATCTATTAAAAAATTCTGTATAACTGCAAAGGAGATAAACAAACAACTCAAATCTCATTAATATTACTAGTGGTAAACAATTACATACGCATTCGCCAAAAACCATTTAACTACATTGGGAAATGAACTATTAACTAATTTAGTCGACCCATAATTATTGTACCTAATTGAATTTGTTCAACAAAACGCAAAAATTTCAACAATTCAGCGAAAATCGCACCTCGGAATTTGTTGCGATGGTGTTTTTTTTCTATCACATGATATAACAAATGTCAAAAAAAAGGTTACAACAAAACACGTAAATGTCACTTACTGCGATTCACTGCGTCCTCGTAGCTCAAACATGATCTTTTCGAATCTTTGGCACCCATTTTCAAACTCCTGATTTGTCTGTTAACATTTTTTTGCACGGATTTATCAACTATTACACAATTTACAAAACACCTATATGACAAACGTCTATTTATTTACACTGATCTGAAGTTGGCCGCGCACGAATTTGTGTCAAATTTGCCGTGTCTCAGATAACGAAAAATTCAGCACCAAATTAAGTCTTTAATCTCTGTTATAACCTAAACAAATATTTATTGTAGCAAAAATGGTCAATAATGTTTGTTATTTGTTAAATCTTTATGCTAAATTCACTATTTGTTTTATTTAAAGGTGCTGTGTCTAATGTAACAAAATATAATGAAAACTCCAAAAACCCAAACTTGTGCCTTAAAACCCATATTTTAGTAAAATAAAACAAATATAGGTTTAATAAAACGATTTCTTGCTTTAATAATAATATAGGTATACGCCTTTTTAGTAGATTTTTCTTATTAAAATTTAATTATGTTGCATGAAGTTAGCTGGTTTACAGTGTTGTCAGATTTGAACCAAGGCAAAAAGAATCAAGGATATACAAGGTGGTCCAGTTTAAATCATAAGAATTTAATTTAATTGCTTTTTATGTATGCTTGAACTAAACGAATTAAACGAAAAATATTGTTGTTTTCTTAAATGTAAACCATTTCATAAAATGATTTTGGTGAAAGAATAATTCTTAAATTCGAATAAGATCTGACGTTATAAAGTTGACCACCCTGTGTATGGATTTTTGACGTATAAAAAATGGCAATCTGGCAACGTTTTCTAACCTAAAATATATACGTCAAAACAATTCGATGGAATTTATAAAAACCACGAATAAATTCCTTTTCTATTAATAAACGCAAATGAAATGGATTCTATTTAAAACATACCGGTGGACAGAGATGCAATGTATGAATATTACCATGCATATTGGCACGATATACGATTAAACTTTGTTATACTAAAGAAGTTAGAGAAACAGATTCAAGACTATTTCATAAGAACAACCGAATATCTAAATAATACGCTGGAGCATTTAATTATATTTTCGTTATTATACATTTTATTATGTATATTGTTGTATGCATTGATTGTGGTGTGGAAGAAATTTCCATACACGAACAGTATAAGAAAGTCGAAAAGGGTTTTGTTTGTAACAGGCCATCCAGATGATGAGGTTATGTTTTTTGGGCCTACGATACTTCATTTCATTAACAATACGGATACAGAGGTTTATTTAATGTGCCTAAGTATAGGTGAGTTAATTTTGGAAACAAAGTTGGGTTTTTTTTGTATCTATTGAAAAACCAATTTTAATGTAATTTAATTCTTGATTTTTTACTCCTTATGAAATCCTAGATAATAAATTATATAAAATATACCATAATTTGTTTTAGGGCAAAATTATGGTAAAGGAGCAGTTAGGAAAAAAGAGCTATATGACAGTTGTAAAGTGCTAGGTATAAAAGAAGCAAACATTATGGTTGTAACCCATACAAGTATGCCCGATAAAATTGATGTTAACTGGCCTATAGATGTTATTGGAAAAATCATTTTAAACATTGTGGAAGAGTATGACATTGATGTTTTAGTTACTTTCGATAGACATGGTGTTAGTAATCACCCAAATCATTGCAGTATTTATTTTTCTGTTGCCAATTTAATTATTGATAAGCAGCTACCTAAATGTAAGTACATATAATAGTTTTTATATAATGATTTGAAACAATACAATTATTTTATGTTCTGATATTCAAAGTAAAAAAACCGTTAACATTTTCAAACGAAAATGTGTTTTTGATTTCAATATAATGATGAAAAATTCTGAATTTTACTGTGGGACAGTTTTTTTTTTATTTTAAAGTAATGTTTTTTTACAAAACTAAGATAAAAACATAAAAATAAGCATAAAGGCATATAGTTTAACATACTAAAAAATTAAAAACAGCAAAACAAAAGGCTGCATTGTTTTATTTTTTATTAAGGAATTAATTTTATGTTTTAACCCTAGAGTGATATTTTTAATTGGATAAAAATATCACAAAGGAATTTTAATTCTGCGAATTAATAATATCATGGCAGATATTTTAAAATTAATTTAATTTTATATCAAACTGTTTTTTAAATTAGGGAATTTAAAATATCTGTTTCTTATATTTGTATTTGTTTGTTAAACACATTTTAAATTCACTAAATTAAAATTAAATTTAATTTTTATGCCAAACTGATATTTTTTATTTTTATTTGCTTCTTATATTTGTAAATGTAAAAATAATTCCTAAATAAAAAATAAAAATGTGCTCTATTTGTTAATATAATATATTTAATAATTTTATAATAATTTAAATTGAATTACATGATTTTAAAACTAACTAAAAAAATTATCAAAAATGTTCTACTGTTGTGATTTATTTTACAAAATTAATAGTACCAACTCCAAACCTATATTTTTCAAAAATAATGTGTTTATGTTTCTTCAGTCGCTTTTTTTAAAATTACCATTTGGGTTTGTAGTTTTATGCAATTTTTTGTATTGCATGGAATCTACGCACACGAGAGAGTAACAGATGTGTCAAGAATTACGAATTAGTCCAACTGTTGGATTTCAACATCTGTTTCTAGATCTAAAATCTTTATTTATTGTACGATTTTAAGAGTTCATATTAGCGAAAATCTAAGCACGGCACTGGATTCACCACCCCTCAAAACGACCCTTTACTAAATTTTATTGAAAAATGTTAAGTAGAAAAATGCACAATAATAACTACAAAAATTAATTCTGTCAAGTTATCCATGAAAAAAACATTAAAATAAAATTAAACTTGTAGTAACCATGTTACTATAAGTTTAATTTCAAATTTTAAAAATAATATTACGAACCTTAAATTAAATACGCTCTTAATGGTTATATATCAAGTAAAATTATTTTTATTTTTGCATATACTTAAAAAATTTAATATAAAAAAATTATATTGTATGAGAAATATTCTTTGTCTTCAATCGGTCTATAATTTTAGTTTATTGTTGTTAAAACTCGTTACTAAAGTGATGGATTATAGCCTTAGCGGTAAACATTTATTATTAACCACTTTGGACCAATCTGTCAGATTTATTAACCTCACTTTCTACTTTGAATAAATGGCCGATTTACAGAAAAAAACTATACGTGATAGGAAAAAAAATTAACGGATTTCAAACCAACACAAAAATATACTATAACACAAAATTTTCAAAAATTAATTGTTAATGTTTATTTTAGATTGTTCTGTTTACGTATTAGAAACAGTGGACATAATAAGAAAGTACTGGTTTATACTAGACTTACCGTTAACGTTTTTGATGTCGAGAGTTCGGTAAGTAATCTAAATTAATAGGGTGGGTTGTCTAAAAGTGCGCACTCGGATACTGCGCACTCTTGAACCACATTACCTTAGACATTTATATAAGGAATCAACAATTAATTTGAATGTTTTTAAATTAAAAATATTCAGAATTTTAATGATTTTGTAAATTTTTAAAGGTGGCGAATAAATAGGCCGCCATATTGAATTTATTGCCAACTTAAAAAATATATATTTTATTTTCAGTTATGTGGTGAGCTGTAAGGACCGGTCAGTTATCCATAAGGCTATGTGGCAACACAAGTCTCAACTTGTATGGTTCAGATTTCTCTACATGTATTTCTCGAGGTACATGTTGATAAATTCGTTACAAAAAATGAACCTTTCCGACATTGAACTCGACTTAGAAATCGACGATTGAAGAAAGGTTTCAATTTTTAATAAAAAGCCATCCAATGTCATTTTATTTTTTTTTATTAACTGTTCATTTGCATCATTCAAAAAAGTTCTCCAATCTAATAAAAATTAATTACTTTTACTAAATTTATACAGGGTGTTTTTTAGGTAATTTTTTTTCCTTTTCACCACAGAAACACCCTTTATAACTTTTAATTTTACTAGTATTAGTAAAATTACTTTTTATAGACCAACTTAACTTTTATTCAGTTAATTTTAAATACCTTTGTTATTTTTTCAAAATGCAATCTAAATAGTAAGATGACACACATTTCTAAGTTAAGTAAAAGTAGCAATTTTTTCTAATACATAAATAATCTGATAAGTTTTTATGCAAAAAGAAAATATATGATTTATTTTTGTTTGAAAGTAACAAATTTTAATTGAATTCGGTTTGTTTATGAATTATTGTAATACATGGTGGCGCAACTTTAAATATGTCAACATAACATAAAAAACTTATAAACCATAACTTAATTTTGCGTCACACTGTATAAAAGAAAGTTATTATTTAATTTTAAAAGTTTCTGTGCAGTTACTAGATTTTAATATAGAGTTAAATGTTTTTATTTATTTATACATATCGCCTGAATTATTGTTGTTTTATATTTTATAAAGCTTTAAGATTCTATAGAATCTATACAAATTGTTAAATTCGTTATTAAAAAGATAGGAAATCATGGTTTTATTATTGTTAGTATCATTTAAAAATTGTGAAATATTTTATTATTTGTTTTTAAAATGTCTACCTCTTAAACTTCCTGTTCATCCATATTGTTTTGTGCCAAAGTGTTTTAAGTTCAACCATTTTAAAATTTAAGTACCTACATTGTAAAAATCATGTTTTATATGTTTTTATTATTAAAAAAATATACAGAAAGTTTTGTTTAAATTAATCCTACCTTAATTAATTTTATAAAACTAAATGTGTTTCTCCTTTGAAGTCAGTAGCTGAAAAATATACTTACGGTTTTTTCTACACTTACCTGAATACATTGCCACAAAATAGAAAAAAATAAAAGAAAAATTCTAAGGTAGGTCTCATAAAAAAATTTATTACATACTTTACATTTTTTTTATACAAAAAATAAGATCTTATCGGAATCCTGTTTAGAATGGCGAGTGGCAAAAATTGATGGTTTCTCAAAATGTACAAAAAACAAGGACAATAAATCGCGGAAAATTCAACGAAAAAATTAACATTAATAAATAAAAACAAGTCTTTCAAGTACTCTACACCACTCTCCTAACTTCAAAGAATCTTTTCAGGTAGTAAATTTGCCCTAAAGTCATGCATACCAAAATAAGGGCTTCGAAAAATGACCACATCACAACCCTTGAATTTGTACTTTCATTGATGCTTCTGTGTATTCTGTCTCTTACTTGCATGTATTCTTGTTCTTGCTTTACTCCTGTCAAAGAAGCTGGAAAAAATAAAATTTTCTATAAATTTCAATACAATATTTATTATTTTTTTAATCAAATACTTTAGGCCTATAGATAGATCTAAGTAACGTGTTACTTATAATATTTTTTGAAAAAATTGGTTACAATTACTTAAATATTACCTTATCTCCTACATTTAATACATTTAAAATAATAGTGACAATATTTTTCATTTTGATTTATTTCAAATTTTGACCTCCAATATCATTTAATATTAACTTTTTAACAAAATAAAAAAATATTATTTTGAATAGTAAATTCACCATCTTTTTTCCCACCCTATACAGGGTGTTTGACGTTCGTGGTCCATTATAAGTTTCTAGGCAACGGAAAAAGATATGGTTTCGAAATTTTTGAAAGCATTTATAATCCATTTAATCCTATTTTTCTAAAATATTTTAAATAAAATTTCACTTTTAACTAGGGATGCACCGGAGTTACTGCCTCCGGCCGATCCGGCCTATGCGGCAGCATATCCGGCTCCGGCCAAATTTTTAAACTGATCCGGCAACAACGGCCGGATTGTGGCCGGATTTTTAAAATTTTTCAAATGTTTATTATAAAAAAAATAGATTAAGGATTAAACTTCATGATTTAAGCGAACATAAGATAACGAAGTCCTTAAGTTATAGTGCAAAAATTCGAGTTGTTCACCTTTCTCGGGAAGAAATCGGCTATGCGCAGTTAACAGTTAACGCCGTACGTATGCGCAGATGGTTGTATTATACCTATTATAATTATTGTACCTATGTTCTTTAATTGTTATAACTTTTAGATTAGGTATATTAATAAATATTATTGATTTATTTTTATGTTACCTATTTATTATTTTTTTAAACGTTTTATAAAGATATACTTTTTAATATAATATTGGTTTTAAAAACTTTTATTTATTGATAAATATATATGTTTTTGTTTTTTTCCCCTAAAATAGCTATTTAACGAACTCATTTGAGCCCGTAAAATAATTCTTTTTTTGTACTAGTACGAAAAAGTTGCTATGGAAACTTGAACCATTGCAATACAACAATTAAAAATAAAATTCGATTCACTGTCACTGTCAATAACCTTAATTTCGAGAAATAGGTATTTACTCTATTTAAAATAATATCAGTTTTAACGCGCCTAAATAACAAGTAGGTACCTACATGACAAAAACCTGGTGTAAAATTACACAAGACAATGCGCCACCTAATAATGATTACTTATAAGGTGGGCAGGTACCTAAAATATAAACACTTTTATTTATTTTTAATACCCCTTGCGGCCTTGAGTTGACGGTGAATTCACCGTGAATTCACCGTTTGCGTGAATTCACCGTGAATACACCGTTTATGTGCAGTGAATATACCGTCCATTTGTGACATTTGTAGACGGTAATTAAACGGTGAACTCACGCTGTTTTTGCGATAAATTCACGGTGATTTCACGGTTAATTCACGGTGATTTCACGGTAAATTCACGGTGAACTCAAGTTTGCAAAATCACCGCAAATTCACTGTGAAAGTACCGTAAATTTATCGTGAAATCACCGTGAATTCACCGTAAAAGCGCTGTGAGTTTACTGTGAATACACCGTAAATTGACTGTGAAAACACCGCAAATTGTAAGTGTAAGATTCGAACAATCTGCTAATTGGTTATTCCCAATACAATACAAATATCGCAAGAGAGCTCTCGTGTAGCGGCGCAAAATCAACGAGGTTGAGACGCCATCATAAAGAAAAAACAACAAGTTGGACGCCATTTATTAGCGGTTTTTTTATTAGTCGATTTCTGTGTCAAGCGGTTTAAGCAATACATCTCACGGCTGCTTACGCAAGCGAGCTAACTATAAATAGCGTTGGGTTGCAATATTTAGTTGGAAGTGTGCGTCTGTAATGGCATAGCTAAACATTAATTGTTTGAAGTCCCCATCTCCATCCTCATCTGCTCAGTAACGAATAATGGCTAGCTATAGTCGATTGTGTTATTTTTATTGATTTATTTACCGTGAATTCACTGTGAATTCACCGTGAATTTACCGTGAATTCACCGTGAATATACCGCTAAAATGCGGTGGATTCACAATTAAAATACTGTGAAAAGTGCGTGAATTCACCGTCTAACTACCGTTTACAAATGTCACAAACAGACGGTTTATTCACGGTGAATTCACGGTTTATTCACGGTTTATTCACGGTGAATTCACAGTGAATTCACGGTGAATAAACCGTAAACTCAAGGCCGCAAGGGACGACTAGAATGCATGCGTTAAATGCAAGGTCTGTCAATTTTTCTCCTTGTTTTAAAAGACAACTGTTAATTTACTTGTATTGTTGGTTGCCTGTTCGGGAACAGGATCCCCACATACCACATCAACACGTAATTGGTAACTAAGTGCAAGATTTGCATAATACTGAAACAGAAACTGCACCTGCCTGTGTAAAAACACTGTAAGATCCGGCCAACTCCGGCGAAATGCGCCAAAATCCGGCCGGAGTTAATCCGGCCGATGACGCCGGATTACTGCATCCGGTAATCCGGCCAAAATCAAATCCGGTGCATCCCTACTTTTAACCGGAAGTGTTATTGTTATTTTAAATGGAAGACCCCATATATTTTTACATTTTTAAATTCTACATAAAATTCTGAGTAAAATTACTATACCATGTCCTATACATAAAGTGAATAGTTGTTGAGTCACTCATTATTTTTGTTTTTTGACAAATGCGCGTCAATTAAAAATAGCCTTTAACTTTTTTGTTATTAGGTTTGCAGATTTGGGGGTAGAATATTTTGAATCTTAAAACATTGTTTAAAAGATTCCATATTAACTCTTTAGTATTTCCCGACAAATTTTGTTCAATTGCACAGCTAAATCGCGCACGTTATTTGTGTTTTACGTTTCAAGGAAAAAACTAAAAAACTGGTTTAGTACTCGATTTCGATTGATTATTCCTTATATCATTAATTATAATATTATATAGTTACGTTACTGTGTGTATTTTATCTAAGGGATCATGGTGAATTATTGTGTTTTTAATTGTAAATTAAATTCAAGAACTAAATCGTTGCATTTTCATGTTTTGCCAAAGGATCCAATTCGGTAAGTACATTTGTTGGTGCAGAATTAAGTAATGATAACTTTACCTAATATAATTTATATTTAAGTTTGGATGTATGAAATAATATGTGTTTCCTAAAAATAAAAAGATTTTTTCTTAGTGTGATTTTTATTGACATCCCAAATATTTCTGAAAGATTCATTATGACGACTGAAAATGGCATGCGCGTCAAGCAATGACTCTTTAAAAATGGGGCAACTTTTTGCCGCTCCCTGTAAATTAGTTATAAAAGTTATAGTTATAAAAGTAAAATAAAACTCTTCAGTCTCGTTCTTCCTCTTGAGGCGAGTGATTGGACTACGGCCTATAGTGCGAGCGCTCCTAAGCAGTGTAAGCGATACAAACACAAGTCCTAATAACAAATCTGATAATCCAGCAAGTTATCGGATGCAAGTGAATCAAAATCAGTAAAACAAAAAACAAAAATTAAATAAACAAGAAAAAATAAATAATAATAAGTTCGAAAAGTGTGGGTGGTTGGGCTACGGCCTATAGTGCGAGCGTTCTCAAGCAGTTTAAGCGATACAAACACAAGTCTTAATAACGAATCTGATAATCCGGCAAGATATCAGATGCAAGTGAATCAAAATCAGTAAAACGGAAAACAAAAATAAAAATTAAATAAACAAGAAAAAATAAATAATAATAAGTTCGAAAAGTACGGGTGGCCCCGGTTTAAGTCATAACGTCGTAAAAGTTTGTGAGAGAGTGAGTGATTAAAGTTAGGTCACACCGATAAGCTACCTGCCTACCTGATTACCTGGACGCTAGGGACAGGGTAACAGAGTTTCAAGTCTAATTAGTCCAGTTAAGTAATTTTGCTAATTGCATGACCTAATAACAGTAGGTACCAATTTGATTCTAATCTTAAAACTAATCGTTAAAAACTTATATACGCAAACTTCGCAATGTAATTACCAAGAATCCCATCTGGCTTCAGAAAACAAACAGGTCCATACACTGAGAAAAGTAAACTCTATTTCAAGTTTTAATTATTAACTGATCAATTTTTGCACATTCAATCCGAACAATGTACATAATTGTTTTATTTAAAAGTCTCGAAATGTTACCTACAGTTTTTAACTCGTAAAGTTTTTGAATATACATTTTATTACTACAAAATTGTACAAAGATTTCAACTAATGCAGTTCAGACAAATTAATGAATAAAATCATTGATATAAGCACTCTTGTATAACAAACAAGTTATTTGCGATTGAAATTCATCGAAAATTTGTGTGGATCGATTATTTTGCTTGTGAGTGTATATAACGCTGTTTGAATTTAGACGTAAAAAATTCTGATGTCTTTTAGCCATTTTTAGAATAATTCTAAGAATTCTAATAATTATTATGACATAAATAACCATTATTTTTATAAGCATAGATGATGAAATTTTGTTTTTTTTATAAAAAATACTTTTATATTTTGTATTTTTTTTTTAATTTTAACTAGTTTAACTATGTTTTAGGTATTATGCATTTTATTTTTTTGTTTTGTGTTACTGACTCTGACAACAAAGGTAGCTTTACTTTAGTAGATTACTCACCGCTCAGCTCCCTGATCATCTCCTCCAGCTTGTTGGCCGTCTCGCCGTCAGCGCCCTCTGCCTTGTGGGGCTCGCCCACCGCCATGTTGAACATGACCACTTTCGGCGTCATGGTCGACATCTTGTTGCTAAAGCAGTAGGTGTAGACGCCGGCGGTGTGCGCGGCGAACGTGTACTTCCCCGAAGTTTCCCGCTCGCCCTGGTAGATCACTTTGCCGTCGGGGCCCAGGATGCGCACGTCTATGTCCAAGAACCCGCCTTCCGATATCTCGAACGTCAGACCTAAAGTCGAATGAACGGTAAATTGGAATCGTCGAGAAATTCTGCATTTTACTGTGCTCAATATTAGAGATGTAAAAAAAACATGAAAAAAACTTTGTTTCTTTGTTTTTTTTTTCAAAGCCACTACAATAAAGTATATTCTATCAATAATTATCACTTTAATCCTTCAGTCCAATTTTGAGCTGTTGGAACAACGTCGTGATAGTATTTCCATTGTCTTTTGCAAAAAAAAATAATATTTTAGAGATAGGGCAAACCAGACACCAGAGTTATTGGACACTTGTTATTTATATAGGTATTATTATTATTTATATATTATAAATTTATATATTTATTTATTTATTTTACACTATGTTATAGCTAGCAAAACAGTTCTTCAGAATTGGTACCGCTAAGTCTATAGACTATAGATATAGATATTAATTAATAAGCAGTTGTTTTAAAGATTTTAGTTTTTTTTCTTATAAATATATAAAAAGTATAGTTTGTTTGTTTAAACTTTACTTACTTTTACTTAAAAACATGGAAAAAAGTATAGTAAGTATGTACATACAATTTTTATATAAACTTTACATCAAATAACATAAATTGTTAAATATTTTTTAAAGATAAATTGCTGTTTTAAGTAATTTTTTTTATTTCGTTTTTGTAAATATCAAATAATTCATATAATTCTTTCTCGGATTCCTCATCCCTTTTCTTGATTATGAAGGTAGGTAACTACTAATTCCTTGGTCTGTGAATCATTTATAATGTTTAGGCCAAACAGACTGATTTATACATATCTTATATTTTTTCGGGTGGTATGTTAATAGTATATTATGTATCAAGTTTGATAAACGCCATTTTATCCACGAATTTAATTTAGGCACGAGCGAGCTTGCGAGCGAGTGCTTAAATTAATGAGTATATAGAAAAGTTTATAAACGAGGCGCATACTATACTTTTTCTACGACAAATACTTATTATTATCTTAAAATGATTTAAATCAAAAATTTGTATAGAGCGCCATATATTAAACAATAGGGGAATCTGCAGATTCCACACATGTGTGTCACCGTCAAATGTCAAATTTTTATATTTTATAAAAACAGATTATAAAGGTTATAAATCGAAATGTATTTCTTGAAAATTAACAGTTTTTCACAGTGAAAGTAAATAAAATGTTTTATGAGCACTTTACAGTGGAGTCCGTGCCCGAATTTAAGTTATAGTTTACCGCTGGAGAAATTAAAAGGTCAGTACAATGTTCATATAAACTTTTCAAATATTGGCGTTGAGAAACTATTAACTTTTGTATTTTTGTATTGAGATAATAAAATAATTTTCACATTTAGTATTATTTTACAAGAAAGGCAATTTATTTTAAAGATTGTATGAAATTTGACAACTGTCAACTAACTTAAAACTAACTTCAGCCCGTGACTAAAAAACTGTTGCTAACTTCAGCCCGTGACTAAAGCGCCATAAAGCCACAACTTGTCAATGTGTATTTAAAAGGTCATGGAAACGTGTACGATAAAGGGCGTTTTAAAGGTGGGAGTAGAAAAAAGTATTTCCCGAATTTATTAATTTTGTTGCCTTTAGTTTTTTATGTTCTCTATCATGCAATGTATTTAAATCACTGTTATTCTGCAAGATGTCCTGTGACAAAGAAATTACTATATTACTTACTCTCTAAAAATGAATTAGTCAAAAATGTCATAGCGAAAAAGCAACCACTAATGATTCCCGTCAACATCAATTTATATCTAGAATCCGAAAATGTCGTCAAAAGTTATAAAAGTAGAACAGTTTTGAAATATACCTAATTAATTTTACATATAATATGGAATTGACTATATCTCACTTTTATAGTTTTTGACGGTCTTTTCGGATTCAGGGGACAATTTTTCATAAGAATTGGCTGGTAAATGTCCGGGATATAAATAGAGTATGATATTAGACATATGTCCAATAATAGAAATTTATATTTTTTACCAACCAGTAATTGGACAGTGGCCATTTTACTGTTTGTTTTCAGAATTAAAATTAAAACGCATTAAAGTGACAATGTTTAAACCATGAGGAACACATTTATACCACACACTGATCTGTACGCTTTTTAGAAATATTTTTTATTGTAATTTAAACACAGCTACTCTTAACAAAAAAAAACAAAAATCTTACCACCAAAGTAACGTGCGAACTTTTTTGTCCTATACTGGACCCAAAATAAAGTAGTTCTATATTATTACCGACTGAGATATTTAAAATTGGATACAGCATCATCTAATGATTTGAACGATTTGAATTTAAGGTAACTATTTATAGAACTCTTGTTTTTACAGAATTAGTTAATTGTCCAATAACTTAAAGTGTCCAATAACTGTCTACTTTACCCTATGTACTTATTTGTTAAGTTATAAAAATTTAAAACAAAAACAAAGCAAAATAATGTTGTTAGACAACGGTGATTGGCCGATTTCAATATTCAGTGTGATTTGAACCAATCGTTTTTTAAATTGGAGAAGGCGACTATAATAATAATTAAAATTGATAAAAAGTAAGGTTAACCGTTTGACAGATGTCAGATTTTATTTATTAATTTTTGAAAATCATTCAAATATTTACTTATTGGAGTAGATAAAGTATAGTATTACACTCGAGAATATGCGCATTATCTCTTGTATAATAATATACTATTTTCTACAACAAATACTAAATACCAAAAATTATTTAAATTAAATATAAAGTGGCATCTATAAAACAATAGAGTAACCAACTTTTTCCCTACTCAAGAATTTAAAAAAGGACAATTTGATGCTATGCTGGAACAACAATTAAAATTAGTTTTGTGGATACCTATTTGAGAAAAACTTTCAAATAAGTACAAGTATTCTACTTATCTTGTATTTGTTTGGATCTACCATATTGTAAAGAGTTGAAGCATTTTTTGCGCTTTTATTTACAATATGGTAGTTACAAACAAATACAAAGTTTGTATTACAAACACATTTCTAAAGAATTTCACGAAAATTCAGCTTTTTTTCAGAATATCATTTAATTACCTACCAAAAAATCAGTAGGTAGGTAATTAACACATAAAAGATCAGGCTAAACAACACTGGAAAACTTTTGGTAACACATGTTTTATGAAGTAAAAAGGTGGATTTAGCCATCATTTAATGTAAGGTAAAGTAACGTAACGTAATTTAATTTAAGAGATAAAACTATATAACCCTATGGACGCGTTTAGCCATCATATAATGTAACGTAATGTAAGGTAAAGTTGGACAACTTTTAATTTTCTTAAATTATGTTACATGAAAATCAATCTGCGCTTGCGTGGCGTAATACCAACCTTATTTGCAACAACAAAATTTCCCTTTGTCTCTGAAATTTCCTATCGAAAGTTTGGAGGTTAGCATCATTATTCCGTTATTGTGTTTTGTGTTTATAACCTGTGTCTGTAAAGTAAAGATTGTTTTGTCATAATGAACGATCAGGCATTAATTGAGTTGGTGTCGTCGTATCCCTGTTTGTACGATAAAAGCAATATAAATTTTAAACAAAAACAGTACAAAGAACAGGCGTGGAGCAGCATAGCTGCTATTTTGGAACAGAGTGGTAAGTTTTAAAGCCAACAATTAGGTAAAAATACATGAGATATGTTTGCAGTACTAGATGTCCAGCAACGATGGAATGTATGCAGGAATAGGTTTTCGGCTGAAAAAAAAAAAATTACAAGAGTTCCATCAGGGTCAGGAGCAACATCTGAGTGGCCCTTATTTAAAAACATGGCGTTTCTGGACACTCACGTTAAACAAAGAAAGTAAGTACAGTATACTATGTGGTGAAAGTTTGTTTCCTATTTTATGTAGAGACACAACTGAAAAAACTGTAATTTTATGTATATTAATACTATTATATATAATAAAAGTTAATTTGGGTTAAAAAAAGCCTAAACAAAATATTTTTAAGATTTTAAACAAAAAACCTCTTTTAAAATTTTTAGACCACATAATTTTATTTATTTTATTTATTTATTTATCATCCAGATACACGTGTACAGAAAAGTTATTTAAAAGCTCTTTAGGTGGTGGCATGACCAACATTTTTTTGACTCAAATTAACTGTTACCCTAAAGTACAGTAAAGGCATTCAAATAGCACGTGCTTAAACTTAGAGGCCTTTCTAACAAAATATTGCTTTTGCAGAACGAGTAGCAACTTTAATGCAGTGGAAAGTGGGGAATATGGACAGTCAATGATTTATGATGAAGTTCTTAATGATACTTTATTTTCACTTCCTGGATCTTCGTCTCAGGAGGAATCAGAGGCTGACTCGCTGTCTCGGCCAAGCAGCAGGCAGGCTGCATCAGGAGTGGCACCACGAGTGGCATCAGGAGTTGGATCAGCAATAGCACCACGAGTGGCATCAGCAGTGGCACCACGAGTGGCATCAGGAGTTGCATCAGGAGTGGCTACACCTTCATCTAGCAGGGTCCACCAGGATAAAAAACGGTGCAGAAAGAGTGATGCCTCTGCAGAAGTTTTCCAGGAGACTGTCAGTGGTGTTATGTCAAATTTAAATAATATTTTAAATAAAGTTGAGGAAGCACCGGAGGATGAAAGCATTCTCTTTGGAAAAATGGTAGGGCTAAGTATGAGGGATATAAAAAATAAAAAAAACTGGAGACGCGCTCGATTGGAAATTTTAGGTATTTTAGATAAATACGCTTCGGACGACAGCGATTAATTTATTAATAGAACAAAATTTTGTTATTATATATAATATTAATAAATGTTTTAAACTTTGGATGACCCAACCTTTTTTATTAATATTTTTAATTTTTTAACTGATTATTTTCATATGCAACTATTTCCATGCTTATATCCTTTTGTAATAAAAAAAATAAATGAATTCTGAAGTTGCAACAGTCATATTGGTGTGTTCTCATAATGTATTTGTAATCAGTAAAAAATTACTCGGAATTCCACCTACATGGGTATTAAAAACTTAGGGGGGACAATTATGGTCTTAAATATTCTTTTAGTCAGGGAATATTGAGATATTTTTTATTACAAAATATAAGGATCCTAAGCTTGTATAAAAATAATCAGTTAAAAATTAAAAATATATTTGCCGGGACCACCCTTCCCCCCGCGTGAGATTTGACTCGACCCCTCCCCCCATAAACCTAAATAAATTTTTGTATTAAATAAAAGACTAAACCAAAATTACAAGGCTATTTATTGGAAACAGGTGTAACAGCAAATTTATGAAAAAAACCACAAGACCTTTAAAGTTCAGGCAAGCCCCCTTCATATATACGGTCCCATTGCCACAGTAAAGCACCCTGGGGGGATATAAACCAATTAGCCAAACTGTCTCTTCGTTCTCGTACACTTCGCGCACTGTTATTTGAAGCCAAACGACCTATTGGTCGCAACGGTGCCAAATCCCTACGCCATAGTCCACGATGGTAAACTCCGTTTTGGTCTTCATAGTCAACAAATCCAGTGGGACAATATTGGCGATTAGCCTCCGGAATTTGTTCCTCTTTTTTTTGCACATAATTATGCAGCACAATCGTAGCTTTGATGAATGCCTCACAATTATCGACATTTGCAATAATCGTGCGACGTAGAATTCGCCATCTCTGCACTAATATTCCAAAAGTATTTTCAATTATACGTCTCGCGCGTGAAAGACGATAATTAAAAATACGTTGCATATCATCCAGATGATCACCAGGGTAAGGACGCATAAGGTTTGTATGTAGTGGAAAAGCTGCATCACCCACCAAAAAATAAGGAACATTTATATTGGTATTTGGTAATGGACAGGGATGTGGAAGGCCCAACTGGCCATTTAGCAATGCTTTTCCAAAGGCTGATTCACGAAAAACATAAGAGTCATGGTTTCCACCAGCTGCTCCCACATCTACCATTGTGAATCTATAGTAGGCATCACAAGCAGCCATCAACACAATACTAAAACAAAAAATATATAAATAACTGTATTTATTGTTAATAATTACTAAAAAAATTTCTTACAAGTACTTTATACTTGTACTTGAAATAAAAGTAAAAATATTTGAGTACTTGGCAAGCTACAATCTGGCATACACACCTAAAATGTTTTTTATAATTAAAAAAAACAGAGCCTGAATTGGCTGGGGCTTCAATGGCTACATGTTTCCCATCAACCGCTCCAATACAGTTGGGAATATTCCAGCGGCTATAAAATTGATTTGATATCCTTTCCCATTCCATTTCATTATTTGGTGCTGGCAAATATATTGGCTGCAGTACATCCCATAAAACTCTGCATGTTTCATTTACTATTACATGTACTGTTGCATGTCCAATATAATAGTCCCATGCCAATTGCTGCATTGAGCAACCCTCTGAAAGAAAACTATTTGAGAATATACTAAATGAGTTCCTAATGTTATTCATACTGTATAGTGATTGCCAGACGTTCTGCAGGTGACAAGTGTAGTTTGTTTTTGTTGTAACGTCTCAGATGAGGTTCCACCAATTCCAGCAGGTTATCAAACTGGTCAGACGTCATCCTAGTGTATTTAAAAAATTGCTCAGGGTCTATTTCTTTCATGGCAGTAAAAAGGGTTCTAAAATGGCCCAATGTCCTGCGGGCCCTATTAATAGGTCTTACACCAAATCGTCGGATTCTTTTCTTCTTTCTTGCTTGAAGGTATTGAAAGCCTGCGACCAAAATACCCAAAATCCCCAAATGAAGGGCTACTAATTGCGTCCTTTTCAAAAGCATACTTAAAATCAAAATAACAAACAAAGAAACTTCACTTCACTAATGTCACTTATCACCCAGTCGTGCCAACATCGGTTTCAAAAAACACCAACACGTCCGCATTGCGCATGCTTACAACCTTATACTAAATGTTGTATAAATGGCACAATTTTTCGTTAAATTGCGTTACATTACGTTACGTTACATTACATTACATTAAATGATGGCTAAATCCACCTAAACCCTAATGGCACATAATATGTATGTATATGGGCTCTAGTATTAATTATACTTATATGGACTTTATATTCACAAAATGTTGATAAAACATATTTTAAAGTAAAATAACAAAAAAAACAGCAGTTATCAGGTACCACAAAATACAACTTCTGTAAATAATAATAAGGAAATTATGTTTGCCGGAATCTACAAACTATATATGAATTCTAACAAAATAAACCTAAAAACATCCAAAACGCCAAAAAATAACTTTCTTACCCATTTTCGTTCCAGCTTCCACTTTGTCAAAAAAACATTCTTCTGCATCGGCATCCACCGTAATAAAATAGGCTAAACTCGAGGAAAATACACTAAAAAGCACCAAACACAAACACAAAACTTTATACATTGTTCCTAACATAATTTATAAAAATATTGTCTATATCGGCCACGTAGAGGTTACTTTTCAATTTGACAACTCAACTGACAGATGGATTACAGGCGACTGTAATGAGACATCTATCGGCAGTATAAACAAGTATGCCTGGAAACCTGTAATAGGCAGTGTTGTCAGATTTAAAACGCGAGATTTATATATTTTACTGCTTTATTAATCTTTATTCGAGCATAAACTTTAACATGGTGCAATAAATGACTGGTAAATAGTAAATAAACCACGCGTGTGGCGAAAATTGATGTCATATTTTCGATTGTTCCAAATTGTAGACCCAGACTGCATCAATACCACTACCGATGGTTTTAATGGGGGTTTTATTTGGTAGAGGGAAACGACAAACAACTATGTTGCAGTCTTTTTTGCATTCTGCTTCAAATTTTTTTTCCAAGTCTTGCATCTACAAAAAATTGTTAAAATACATATTTTAGTTAAAATTATATAATCACATATTTACCATTTGCTCCACCCCAAATATTACTATGTTATCATATGTAGAAATATTATATTTCCACAAGTCTTTTCTAAAAAAACTTGCATTTTTTAAACCATTCCTAAAAGCATCATATTTTGAATATAAAACCAACCATGGGTTTAATTCTACTCCATGTGATGTAAAGTTGTGTTTTGCAGCTTCTACAATCCAAATTTAATATAAAAAATCCTATAAAAGATCTATTTATACATGCCTATAACTATACGACCATCCCCCGACCCAATATCCAAAAACAGCCCTTTTTTCCCCTCCAAAGCCTTTAAAATATTCTTTAATTGTTCATTGGTCGCAGGGATATACGGTAAACAAAATTTTCTCAACGCAGGGCTTACAAAAGGCGCGCATATTGCTGTAAGCCCTATGGCAATACCTCCTGAAAAAAACCGTGTTATTTCGGCAATTTTTGAATGATTTTTAGGTTATACCTGTTAGTCCAACTAATATTTTGCCTGTATTTGATAAAGTGGTGGGTTTTTGTGCTGCGGATGTGTTTATATCCAGTAATTCCATTATTTTTGGTGGACGTCAGAGGATAACCTCAAAAGTATTTATGACAGATGTTAGCAGCTAACTTCATGTCATTGTTCAAAATTTAAAAAAAAAGCAAAATTTGGGCACAAAACGTAATATTAATATTTTATTATAGATAAAATGCTATTTAACGTGGTAGGTGTATTTCTATTGGGAGCAGCTCGTGACACCCAAACACGAGAGATCTAAACTCGATGGGTCTAAAATTTAAAAGCGCGGTGGGTCTAAAATGTGTGGCAACGTCGCACTTCAAATAAGGTTTGGTTCACATTTTTCTTAAATGAAATGTAAATTTTCGGTCGGTTTAGACCTCACGAGTTGCTCCCCTCTGATATACCCATAACCAACAAAATTTACAAAGTTACTGGTGCCATCATAAAGGTACATTGATAATATCAATTTGATATTGTTATTTATATACCAAAAAGCTTTATAACAATAACAAATGATCATAGATATATGTATGCAAGTGATGTTGTATTCTTATTCTATGGTTGACTTCTAAGGAGTGATTTTGACAGTTTAAAAATATATTCAGAGATGAAAGCAGTAACAGTTGGTCAGTTTAGGATTCACAGGTTTTTCTATGTTCTAGGATTGGTTTGTGACATGGCCATGAAATGGTTCTTCAGGGCAACACTAATACATGTCAGCGTCGTCAACCCGTCCTTTTGAAACATTCTAAATTTAGAAATAATAAAATTAATATATTAGATGACCTTTTTAAAAATAATTTGACGAGTAAGCATTTAATATGTATTTTAAATATGTGGATACCTAACTAATATTGTATGTTTTCAGTACTTCCAGAGGATGCCGAAAGTCAAAACTGGTCGAGATAATTAATAAATAAAAATATCCATGTGGCCTAATTGTTGGAACCAGTATATCATCAGTTTATCCAACCTACAGTGAGTGAGAAAAAGGGGAGAAACATACAAGAAGGATAGTAAAGTATAGTATGTGACACAGGTGTGAAACAGAATCGGCAAAACTGGAAACATGACCCCTAATGGATAGTTGTGTGCCATTGGGTCCTGTTTGGCTTTAAGAACTTTTTAAGGAGCCATATTGATATATGTAAAATAGTTTTAAAATGTAAGTATTATGTTTTAAATTCAAAACTTGTTGGCTTTTTAGCAAACCTTGGTTTTTCATTACTTAGGTTGAGTTGGTTCATAAAAAAGAATAATTTGGTTATTAGGCCTTGTGACAATACAAATTAAGCAAAAAAATGCAAAATGCACACTAGTTATAAACTTGTTAGTGTTCTAAAATATATTTGTAAAAACTTATAATTTATATTTCAAATGTTAAATCTTAAAAATTTGTTAGCCTAAACATTAGTTTATAACCAAGGTTTACTATAATTACTATAGTCAATAATTCTCTTTTGGATACATTTTGCTTTTGTAACGTACATAATAGCCCCATAAAATGTTTTGAAAAATGTGTTTTTAAATATATTTAGATATGTAAAAGAGAAAAATTTAACCAAAAAGAATGCAACCTCGAATGTAACAGTGGAGCATTTAAAAAAATCAATTTTTTTTTATATTTAAGGTTACTTTTTTTAAAAGCTAGAATTTTTTTAATTAAAAGTTTATCAGTCTTAATGTTTGTTATATTAGTTTTCTACCAAAAATTGCCCAATATATTTTTGCTTTAAATTTTATGTTTGTTAATTAAATTATTTTTAAAAGGAGTTGGAAAATGGAAGCCATGGGACACCAACCTGAGAGCATAAACCTTAATTACACAAATGCAACACAACCTACAAGTTTGAATAAGGAATCTATTGTACACCAACTGGAGGACATAAACCCTACTTACGTGAAATTCAATGCAAGAAAGAAGACATTCTTGCAAGATGCAGTTTACCCAATACTATAAACTATAATCAATCTTTGCCATTGAATACCCTAAATGCAATAGTGATACTTTCACATTTAACATTTTTGTACTGCATTTTCTAATATCTTAAAGTTAAGTGATACCTATGCATATTCTTATTTTTGTAAAGAAATATTAATGTCATATTAAAAAAAATACCAAACAGTTAGGTATATTTTATTATTAGTTTATTTATATATTGTCCCAAGGAAAACCAAACACCCTGGATAAATAGAATTATTAGTTTACATTGTAGTCCCGAAATTCAGGGTCAAAATGAAAACTTTAAACCTTGTTTACTCAATATTTGTCCAATGATGTTTAGGTTCGTTTTTGTCCAGACCCCTTCTATTTTACCATGTTTATGAAAACAGAAAATAATACCATAAATTCTTTCTTGTAATAAACTTTTATTTTTTTTTTATTTCCAAATATTTTTTTTTAATTAAATTAATTTTGACATGGGTAATATTTTATAACATGTTATAAAATTAATATATATATATATATATATATATACACCCTATAGGGTGTCGCAAACGTCCTCGTGCAACTGGATATGTAGACAGTTCAATTTCTGGAAAACACATTTTTTTAAATATTTAAAAAAATTGGGTTTCCAGAACTTGATCGCTCCACATCCTGTTGCACGAGGACGATTTTTTTTATAAGCAAGGCTTTCTGGAAGATGAAGAATTTAAAGTGTAGGATATATCGAAAAAGACAACCATCAGGTGAAACTGCTTTTCTAATTTCGGCAATGCTTCACTGATCAAATTATTTTTTTATGAAATTATTTTCTTATCAAAGCTGTTTTTAGCACCTGTCATTTTGACAGCCGTTATTTTAGCACGTGTCATTTGGGATCTGTCATTTTTACAGCCGTTATATTGGCACCTGTGATTTTATCAGCTGTCATTTTGAGCGTCGTCATTTTAGCACCTGTCATTTTAATAGGTGTTAATTAGGCACCTGTCATTGTGACAGAAGTCATTTAGGCATAAATACAAGTTTTCTTTGGAACACCCTGTTAGATAATTATTAGATTAAGTATACATTTAAATTAACACTAGCACCCTTGGTGCGATTCGTAAGTAAAGAACCATGTCAAACGTCACATAAATTGTCTTTGTATATAATATTTCTTTGAGAGGCCCACACACTAAGGGGTTTGGGGCATATTTTCGTGAGAACCGAATGTATTAGAGTTAGTTTGTAGTCAGGTTTCTTGTTGAACACTCGTGTATAATAATTAGTAAATTACTTAATCAACTATCCGTGTTTAATTAAAATACATTTCTATAACAACCCTGTATAATAATTTGATAAAAAAATAAGTTAATAAAAAAATAAATTGATGAAAAAATAATTTGATAAAAAAATAATATTATTAATAATAAAATAATAAAATTTTTGAAATATTTCATAAAAAAATAATGTTGTAAAAAAATAGTTTGATAAAAAATAATTTGGGAAAAAATGCATATAGGTAATTAATTATTTATAAAGCAAAACAAGTTTATTTTCCACTTTTAATTTTTACACAAACGGCGCCTCATACTTTTCGCTCTCTTAAAAATGCTTATTAAGGAGTATCCCGGACAACAATCGGGATTTTCTGGTGAAGTCATGATGATATCACAACGTGATTTTTTTTATCACGCTGTGATATCCTAAGTGCATACACATGCTTCATCACAGTGATATCATGTAGAACTCACGGTGTGATATTTGCAAAGTTTGCGCATGCGTATGAGCCCTGCGAACTGCGGATTTAAAACCTAGTTTAACACATGATTTTTTATGCTATCGGTGTTTCGGCATAAAAAATCATGACATGATTTTTTATGCCATCGGTGCACCGACATGTTTGGATATTTATTTTTGCGCCACATTCGTACATTGTGAGAAAATGTATGTTAACAATTGAATTAACAGTTTTTGCGGTTAAATACATTTAATATTTTCTTGGATGTAAATTAACTATTAATTTAAATCCAAAAAAATATTGAATGTATTTAACCACAAAAACTATTGATTCAATATATATGTACATAGGAATACTTTATCTCTCAATGTACGAATGTGGCGCAAAAATAAATATCCAAACACCGATGGAATAAAAAA